GGGCGATGTTCGCTAGCCCAGAACAGGCGATAGATAAACGCCTGCAACGATTTTATAGCATGGAATTTTACGCATTTCATTTCAAATTTACTAACCAACAGAAAGTCTCTGACGAATATTGTCGCACGCTTGGAGTTTGGACTGGGAACTTCATATAAGGGACACTCCTGACCAACAAGAAACAAAGGTGGACAAGGACGTATGAACCATCTGAAAAATCATTAACTTTCCAAAATGAACATGAGAGCAGACAATTCGAGAGATCAAATCCGACTTACCCGTTGCGGTTTCGAATGAGCAAATAATCATTGTGGTGCGGTGAATGTCGATAAATAGGAGCTCTGAAACAGGAATTAACATACATTTTCTTCGCAAATCAAAAATCTCGCAACGAACCGAAATAAGTTGTTCTCAACCGACTGCATTGCTTGACCTGGCTGCAACTGTCCAAGAAATGGAATGTTATGCAAGTAGGCCATGTCACCGTACTCAAAATCAGGATCGGCATCTTTTCCAGGCTTCTAAAAATAATAGTACTCCAGGAAAAAAGATTCAAGATATAGAAATAAGCAAGACAGAACCAACTTTTTTATAGAAGTTCTTGACTTTTGATGCCATTCCAGGTTGACATAACAGCGGGGGATGCTCTTCGGAATACTCCAATAACGCCAAGTCTCCATCTCGTCCACTGAGATCAGCTACATCCCGCATGAAGAAGATGTCACCTCCGCCTTCAGCACATCGTTGTTTTTCTCGTTGCTATAAAATTGTATCATTAGGATCTGCAAAACAGAAAATCTCCCAATGACCTTAGTCCATACTGACTGTCATATACCGCGATAATTCAACATGTGATTCAAAAGGGAAATTAGCAAAAAAATCTATGCAGAGAAATTTGCTCTTTAAGAGGAGGATAATAGAATAAGATAACAAAAAAAGAGTACAGAGTGATAAACTATTTGAACATGTAAGCTCGTCACAAGTTGGAGCAATTTTTTTCTGCACCCCTTTTATTCCGCAATTTTCTTCTGTTGGTCAAAAGGTTTATATATTAAAAGATTTCTTCTTATAAACCTCGCACATAGCTTTCCCTCTTCGTTTTAATTTTTGAGCAGTTAACAAGAAAACAGCATATACAACATCTATCTCACTTGCTTTCAATCGAGAGAAAAAAAAAGAAAATAAACCCATATTCTCTCTGTATAGAGACGAGGCTATGTTTTGTAGTTTTGCTACAGATTAGCCCGCCAGTCTAGTCCAATTTGGCCCTCAAAACACTTCACATACGAAAGGCCATCCACCTTTGATAGAAACCTTTTGTCGGACTTCAACTTTCAGTATTCTCCCCTTTCTTTAACAATATTCCATCTTTCCAATGCAAAATGTAGCTTTCCAAAAACTATACCTCAAACGGGTGAACGAATTTCTTCCAACAGTCACACTTAATATTGGGTGATAATTCGACAATATTTGAACGGAACAGCAACAATGACGAATAGTGCACTTTGATTAGATATTTCAGATAAAAGTGCTTTTTAAACAAAATAC